ATTTAAGGTTTTTAAAAACATGAAACAGTAAAAAAATTACCACTTAAAACATGCATATGTAAAATAAGAAGTTAAAACCCAACCCTAACGCCAACACACTGACTATCCAAGTTGTGACTCCAAACAAATACTAGTTAGCAATTGATGCCACCCTTGTGATAATTTCCTAAGTTCATATAGCATACCGTATGTAAGTACATGTTGGCAGAAATGCTCTCAAAGAGAAGAGAATGTCCATCCTCCAAAGAGAGAAAAGCACAGGATCTTGTGACCTCTCACCTCCCCTTACTTTTTGGAGAGCATGATTTAGCTTCTTATGTCTCTCCTTTAATTCCTTCTATCTATCCTCCTCAACTTCCCACTTAGTTTAGAAGTTCTACCATGCAACTGCTACATTGCTAGAGTTTACGTTACTGTTTTCAGCAGTCTTACTTAAACCTAAATCTAAATGTCTCCATAAAAATACAAAATTAAATTAACACTTCACCTGCCTGTTGGGATGAAAACTTTAACACACTTGAAAGTTTTTCAGTCCTTCCTGTCTCTACTCCCTCCAACTCATGGGCTTGGTTAAAATAATATGAAACTTTAGGTTGGTCATTTAAATTTTTCATTAAGAGCAGGTATGGCAAACACACTCTAGGGTGACCCCCACTGAGTCATGACCTTGTGTAATTCTCCCCCTTGAATGTAAGGTTCTGACCAAGAGTATATGGTAAAGTTGAGAGGCTTTGAAGTGCAATTGAATTCCCTAATCAGTTCACTTACAGTTTATCTTAGGTGGGCCTGACCTTCAAGAGGGTCCAGGCCTTCCCAGAAGTTAGAGACCTGAAGCAGCAAGGACCCTCTCATTGTTGCTTGGGAGTTGATCCTTCCCTATTCAGCCCAACCAACAACTTGATTTCAGCCTTGAGACCCTAAGTAGGGAATCCATTAAGCCATGCCTGGACCTACAAAACTGTCAGATAATAAAAGGGTGTTGTTTTAAGCCACAAATATGTAGTAATGTGTTACACAGCAATAGATAATTCATACAGCAAGTATATCTAGTTTTGGGGGGGGGGACATTACTTCACCATTAAAGTACCATTCACAGTCACATTAATGTCATCTATTTAGGTTTATCCCTGCATTTAAAGAAGTCTGCCGAACATCTTTCCTGATCTCCATATTCCCCATCTGGATATCTTCATTCTAATTTAGTTGCTATTTGATGAGAATCCTTTCTTACATAATTTTTTTTAGAGAGGGTATATGGTGTTATGCTTTCTCTGTCCTTGAATGGGTAGCAATGTCTTTTGCCCTCAAATATCAGTGACCCTTTAACTCCCAGCCCTTTTCACTTAGAAGTCTGAAACAGTGCTCCACGACAGTTTCCCTTCATTATGAGGAGCCCTTCAAAGCTGGTGTGAATCTCTTTCTTTTGAATGTAACCTGTATTCCCTGTGAAGAGTCTTGTAAAAATTTCTTTTTATCCTTGGGTTTAAAAATTTTGCCAGGAAATCTCAAATTGTGTATCATCTCCTTGTTAACCCCTCTGCCCCTCTGTGAACCCACTCTGTTTGAAAACAAGATTTCCTTCCACCCACAGACTTCTCCTTCTAGTTGTTACTTGATGCTGGTCTTATTTCCATGAGCCCCTTCTTCTGAAGCTCACATCACTCAGATGGAGGCAGATCTCTTGGATCTTTTCTCCAGATTTCCTATCTTTTCACTCACGGTTTCCATTTCCTCATATTTTGACATCCGTCATGAAATAGTTCCTCCTTTTGTTTTTTCAGATCCAAATTTAATTTTGAGTAATATACATTACTTTTCTCACTTCCTCTCTTGAGAGCTTAAAGTTGTCAATGCAATTTTGCTTTAATTTCCTATAACTTTTCTCCTTCTTGAGTTGGTCTGGGCTCCTTGTCCTGGCCAGGCTGCAGGGCAGAAGCCTTGGCAGAGGCAGACAGCCTGGATGAGCCAACCAACTGTGACCCGTCTACTGAGGCACGAGTGGGGAGAGGCTTCTCAGTTTGGGGGCTCAGGGTCCTCCAAGTGTGGGCAGGGAGAGACCATTCTCTCCCAGCTACACAAAAAAGAAAGAAACATCTCAGTCCAACTGTGCTACTTTCTTAGAAGGCAGCCAGTATTCATGACATCAGTAGACCCCGCTGCTTCACAGGGTCACACACAGCACATCTGAAGCATGCTCGTCCTCTCTATAAGCTGAGGGGTCCTTTGGGCTCAACTGTTCCCTGAGTTCTCAGCTCTCCCTGGAACCCCCAACCCCTACTCTTGTTCTAAGCAAAGGCTCCCAGCATCCACACTCTTTTCTTGAGAACCCAAATCTTCAGATGTGTTTGAGATCCCCTCCAGGGTCATCCACCTTCTTGAGTCACCCCCAGCAGAGAGCTGGGAGAAATGGGGGTTATTAAATGTCGACATTTGCTGCCATCTTCCTAGAATCTTCATCTTCTCAGAGTAAGAGATGCATGAACATATTAATAGGGTGAAGGAAAGGAGCAAGGAGAGAGTAAGAGGTTGAAGATTTGCAGAGAAAGGTAATTGCTAGAAAAAGGTCTCAGGAAGATAGAAGGGGTAGAATTTAAATCATGTAGGAAAGGATTAACCTTGGATAGGATGAGGAACACATGATCAACTAATATGGGAAAGAATAAAGTTTTAGCGGTTGTGACTGAAGGTACGTTTGTAGGGTAAGAGTTCTCAAAGGGTGGCCCCTGGACCAGCACATCAGCATCACCTGAGAACTTATCAGAGATTCATATTCTGGGGCCCCACCCCAGACCTAGTGAATTAGAAACTGTAAGGGTGGGGCCCAGCCATATCCTTGTGGCTGTACAATTCATGACAGCTTGCTTCTTGAAAGGCAGCAGCAATGAAGGGGCCCCTGCTGCTTCAAGTCTCTAACTTCTGGGAAGGCCTCGACCCTGTTAAAGGTCTCACCTGATAAGGTCAGTCCCACCTAGGATGAACTCAAAGTCAACTGATGAGGATCCTTAATTGCAATCGATGCCCACCCACCAGCAGATTCTGATGCACACTCAAGTTCAAGAACAATTGGTATAGGGTGTGGAATATTAGGTAAATGTGAAGATGTTTGCAAGTAAGTCTCTTTTATTTCATGAGGATGGGGTGAAGTCAGTGATAGTCAAGGATACAGTGGTTCAATATGGGGCTTGAGAAAAATGGCAAAATTTTAGAATACTTATTAAGAAAAAATAGAAGGAAAGTGAAGAAAGGCTAGGATCACTGCCTATGAATTTGTGGAGACACTTGTGGGTCATCATATGCAATTGTAGCTTTTATTTCTCAGCAATAACAACATGAGCAAAAACAGAAAAGTAAAGGGTATCTTCAAAATACATCTGGTTAATTATTTTGTCATTTATAAATATGCTTCATAAAATTCTATCATAAGCTAAAAAAATTTCAGCATTCGAATTTGTGGAGACACTTGTGGGTCATCATATGCAATTGTAGCTTTTATTTCTCAGCAATAACAGCATGAGCAAAAACAGAAAAGTAAAGGGTATCTTCAAAATACATCTGGTTAATGATTTTGTCATTTATAAATATGCTTCATAAAATTCTATCATAAGCTAAAAAAATTTCAGCATTTTAAATTTTTTGAAGCACATTGACCACTACTAATTCTGTTATTGGAGAATCTCAAAATGTCTGTATCATTGTCCTTATTTTATGCAGAGAAAATGACAGTCATCTTAAGAGATTTACCCAGATTAGACAGGAAGCCAGGGACATCTGATTCATTGCTCCTTATTCTTCTTTCCAGGGTTGAACTAACTCCCTATTTCTCAGTGCTCCGATAGACCTGGAACTGGAAAGCCATGAGATGAAGCCAGCATATCTACCTTTGTGCCCTGGTGGAAGTTGGTGGAGTTTGGTTCTGTATGACCATCACACTCCGAAGGAAGCATCAGATCTGCCAAACGTAGAGACTTGACCCAGCTTCCCACCTTTTTATCTAGGAGCTTGAGGAAGTTCCTCAGTGTGGCCTACAAGCCCTTGAGGCTTGCTGAAAAGATCACTAAACAAAAGCGGGTCCACCCAAACAGAAGCAGCGGGAGTCACAACACAAGGTTACCAGGCAGGTGGATGGTATCAAGTAAGCAGCTATGGGAGCAGGAGGTTAAGTGAAATGACTATAAATAGAGTCCATAAAAGCATTACAAAAATCTAAACCCAGCCCCGAAGCTACAGCTTAGAAAAATGTGCCAATAGCTGATAAACAGGCTGTGCTGGCACAGCGCCTTCTGAGGGTGTCAGGGCTGGAAGGAAGCCACCCCTCCACGAGTCGTGGCTAGAGGCCAGTGGGAGGCAGGGAAAGGCTTTAGGAACCGTGCTGGCCAAGCTCATAAAGCATAACCTCACCACCCACTTTACGTGCTTGTTGGGAGGATTTCATGAGTCCATGTATGTGAGGGCTTAGAACAGGGTCTGCACATTGTAAACACTCAGTCAGTGTCACCTGTTTTTCCAGAGTGACATTGACATGCGTCTACTCAAATGAACCAACATTTCCCTCCCAACTGACGCATTTAATGAAAATTAACTTATTCGCCAATACATGAGACTCCACCTGCCTCCCCCTCCAGAAAGCACAGCATCCTGTCTTTGTAGAATAAGCTTTAAAGAGCAGCATGCTTTCCTCTCCCACATTTTTCACAGCTGCGGCCTCTGACCTGTGTCTGACAGTCCAACTCAATGTCACTTTTTGTTTTCAGCTTTTTCCACATTCAACAGAAAAGAGAGCGAGGATACAAGAAGAAGGAAAGGGCAGGAGAGAGATTTTTCAGTTTATCAGAAAGAAACCTGAGACTTGCAAATTGGTCTCTTTGGATCCATAAATGATCCCAGCTTCAGCATTTCATCTTTATTCTTAACAAATGCATGCTCCAATTAGAGGTTAAGTGGAGAAATCCCTGGCGTCATTTAGAGCCACTCTGGCACAAGAAGGCCAAGCGACCTCTCACCTTTGTATTCTGCCAGGCACACACACTCGTAACCATTAAGCAGGTCCTTGCAGGTGGCAGCGTTCAGGCATGGACCAGACAGGCATTCGTTATATTCCTCCTCACAGTAGAGGCCATGGTAACCTGAGGGATAGAGAGAAAAGCCTGCTGTCAAATGCAACCCATTTAAAACCCATTCTGGACCATCCTGCAAAGAAGGCAGTTGGGTATT